GATGGGGCAATCTACTTCTGTAGTGATACTGCCTCAGAAACCCAAGGAGGGGTCGCTATGAGTCGGGTCCGACTCGACGGCACATAACAACAACAGCAACCAAAGTAACCATCTAATAATCCAAAATTTCACATCCCAGGCCCCTTCCTTCTTTCTTTTACAAAATCCCATGTCCTATGAGTGTGGAGCCACTGCAACGAATCCCACTCCTGACACCCACTGCCAAAGGGGCAAGGAGGCCATATCTTCTAATCTCCTCCAACCCCACAAGAGGAAGACAGAATCACCATCAGCAGCCCAAGGCCTATCCCTGTGAGGCCAGACAAACCACCTCCCTCCAGCCCTTTCACCAACCCTGACACCAACCTTTCCTCCTGCAGCACCCACCACCTCTTTGCTGGGTTAGGTAATTCACTGCAGTGGCCATACAGAACATGGGGTTTATTAGGGAAGCACCATGCTACAATTCAAGTTCAGGAACACTCTCAGTCTCTCTCCCAACACCAATCTGTCAGTCTCTCTCCCAGCAGTGCATTGTCTCTCAGGAGCACATTTCTCTCAGCAGCACGTCTTTCTGAGCCAGCAGTCAAGAGAGACTTCTTCTGCCTCTAGGAGGACTGCTTTTGAGCCTGGCAGAGTGGCCAAACTAACCAATGATAACATTAGAATTTTAAGCACCTGAGAGAGAGCGGACTTCCAAGAACATTGCTTTGTGCCACTCTCAACAGAAATACCCCAGGTGGGTAACTTTAACAATCAGGAGCTCTTCAGTTGCTCATGGCAAATTCCACCAAGTTTACAAAGACTTGGCTAGAAAAGTCATAGCAGGTAATTTACTACACCACACACATAGACTATCTTTCCCATAACCTGAGTTCTTGAGTCCCTGACTTCCTTTCCTTTAAAGGTTGAAGTCTACCTGACTTCAACCTCTCATTCCCTGTAATTTCAATTTCAGGCATTCCATTCTTTGCCACTTCTCCATTCTGTCTTGCCAGCTCACTCTCTGTAGTACCCCCAAATCCAATAATCTTTGAACTTACCAGGATCTACAACTATTGATCCTACCACTTTTCTTCTGTTCTTTATTTGTACCTTATACCCTCATTTCATTCTTATTCAACTTAAATTCCAGTGTTAATGATATGTTAATCATTATAAGTGCATTATAAGCACTACTCTCAACTTCTTTTGTTTCTCTCTTCATTCAGCTTACTCTGTACCTTTATAAAAACTTTAAATTCAACTCTCTCCCATGTCTGCAATTGCACAGCTAAACATTGATGGAGAAAAGTACATTGTCCTGTTGACTAGTCTTATTTTAAAATCAAGATTACCAACCTCCTACATGACAATTTCACATCTTCTGTTCTCTCCCCAGATCTTTAATAGCCTCTTCCCCCATCCTCACTCTTAGCTGATGACCTTGCTCCCCAATTCACTGAGAAAATAGAAGCAATCAGAAGAGAGTGTCCACTCTCATCCCAAGTATCTGCATCTGTGCCTTTTATTTTCTGCCGTCTCTCCTGACCGTCAGAGAACTTCCCCCATTCCTATCTAAGGTCAATTTCTCCTCTTGCACACTGGTTCTCTCCCTTCTTGCTAACTTAAGGGCATTGATCAACAATTCTTTACCCTTTTTCTTGCATCATCACTATTTCTCATCTCAATTGGATCAACCCTTTAGTATATAAACACTCTCCCCTCTAGCTATAACTCCTACCCCATTCTCTCCTTTCCTTTGTAACAAAACTATTTAAAAAAAAAAAAAAAAGCTGTCCTGTCTCCAGAAACTATTCTCCCATTACTTCTTGACCCCACTTCGGTAAGCTTAAACCAACTGCCGTCAAGTGGCGTCAATTCCAGCTAATGGCAACCCCATGTGTTTCAGAGTAGAACTGCGCTCCATAGGGTTTTCATGGTTCTGACCTTTCAGAAGGAGATTGCCAGGTTTTTTTTTTCCTGAGGCACCTCTGAGTGGGTACAAAGTGCCAGCCTTTTGCTTAGTAGTCCAATGCTTAACCATTTGCACCACCCAAGGGACTTCTATTTCCAAAAATCAGCCAGTTAAAATCCTACGGATCACAATAATCCAGTTCATGATCAGTCATGGAGATGGTGCAGGACCAGGCAGCATTTCAGTTCAGCTGTGCTTGGAGTCATCTTGACTAGGGGGCAGCTAGCTGATGACAGTAATAAGTTCCAAACTCATATCTTACCCCTGAACTTCAGATTGCTATATCCATACTCAACATCTCTACTTAGATGTCTGCCTAAATGTAGCTTCTAAAACTTGCCTAAATTTTTTCCCCACAGTCTTCTCAATAGATGGCACCTTCATTCTTAGATTTGTTTACATGAAAGTCCTTGGAATTATCCTTGACTTCTCTTTTTCTTTTACATCCCACATCCACTCTATTGGTAAATCATGTTTTCCCTATCTCAAAATAGATCCAGAATTCAACCATTCCTAACCACTTCCACTGCTGCACATTAAACAAGTCACTCTGATTTCTTACCTACATTATTGCAGGAGGCTTCTAATTGACCTTCCTGTTTCTGGCCTTGCTTCTGTCCCAACCAAAGTCTATTCTTCACATAAAGTAGAATGATTCAGTTAAAATATAAATCAGATCATGGCTCCAAAACATTCCTCTGATTAAAAATCTTCAATGGCTTCCCAGCTCTCTCAAGTAAAAACCAAAGACCATATAGTTATCTACAAGACCCTGTGTAGATGGACCTTCCAATGCTACTCTTCCTTCATTTCTTGCTGCAGCCCCTCTTACTACACACTCTGGCACTGCTGGCCTCTTTGCTGCTTCTTGAAACTATTAGGCATATTTCTGCCTCAGGGTTTTTGTATATGCTATTTCATCTGCCTAGAATGCTTTCCTCTCAGATGTCCTCATGTCTCATTTTCTCACCACCTTCAGGTCCTTACTCAAATGACACTTTCTCAGTGAGGCTTTCCCTAACTATTCTTTCTACAATTGCAACTCTTCTATCTCCCTATCTTGTTTTATTTTTTTCCTTGGATCATACTCCCATTAGTTTTTTTTTACTTATTTACCTTGTACATTTTCTATCTTCCCCACTTGAAGATAAGTTCCAAAAGATTAGGAATTTTTGTCTATTTTGTTCATTCTTGTTTTTCCAGTGCCTAGAACAGTACCTTGCGTATAACAGGCACTCAGTAAATAATGTGTTTGCTGACATACTGATGACACTCAGTGCTGCAAAGCATTCCCATCATGAGTCATGCAAGACCAATGGCAGATTAATGTCTCTTCTGTGTTGTGCTCACTGTGGGACATAAACTCACTGAGTTGAATGGTGGCCATAATTTCTCACTGTACTTAAAATGTTTTTTCTCATTTTACTTTTTTTTTGGCTGAGTGACTAATTCACCTAATTTAAGTACACATATGATGTAACTCTGCTTTGTGTCTGAATATGTATATGTATAAAAACAAATCACATATGAGATGTGTTCTGGTTACCTAGTGCTGCTCTGACAGAAATATACCACAAATAGAATGGCCTTAACAAACAGGAGTTTATTCTTGGAGGCTTTAAGTCCAAGTTCAAAGTGCCAGGCTCTAGGGGCTGGATGAAAGCCCCTCAACCTTGGGGTCCAGCTCTGCCTCCTGCTCCTGGCCCACTGGAGCTAGTGGCGTTTCTTCACTCAGAAAGCTGCTGGCTGCTGAGGTTAGAAGTCCCAAGGTTAACAAGTAAAAAATCACAGTCCTGGTATTACCAAACCACACAGCAGGCATTAATTCAAGTCCATTGTAAGTCCCAAGGTTGGCAGAGCATAGCAGGCTGTTGAACAATGACACAGCTACGTGCAGGGTCCAAGTGTGCCATAAACTAGAGACCATGCCCAAGGCTTCTCCTTATATATAGGAAGCAGACCACATCCCAAAGGCAGCTACTCAGCTGCTTGTGGTAGATCCCACCATGGAGTTGATTGCCAGTCTCATCATTGGGAATAACTACCACCAGCTGCTCAGCCACTCGACCAGTCCCAGCCAAGTTGACATACAAACATAAGTACCACAGGATGTTAGTATAACTTTGAAAATGTAAATAGGAATTGGAAGTCATTGAAAAAATCAAATGACATGAGTTCAGTGTTTACTGTTATCACTGCACAGACTTCAGATTTTAATATTGAATCCCCTAGTTTTGTGGTTTTGTCAAAAAATCACATCCTGTACCCATTTATATTTTGATGATACCACAGATTGTGAGAGTAAAGAATGGTAATTCACACAATTCTTTAATTTTGTGTTCAGATTTTAAAAAGAGATGTCAAATGAAGATTAGACAATGACCCTTTAACCCTGATAAAAATGAAGTGAATGGAATGTACTTGAAGTTGCAGCTACATGGTATTTTGTTTCAAGGACAGTCAGTCAGTGACTAGAGAAATGGGCATATCTAGCTTTCAAAGGAGGACTGTCTGGTAGTATCTATAGGCAGTACTCAAAATGATGTGGCAATTTAGAGATAGCTTTGGAACAAGGTACCTTCAGTGTGCTTTGCCGTATCTTCTGGCTGTGTCATGATGGCAAATAATGAATTAAAAACTATTTGTGCTTCACAGGGATTCAAGTATTTATATTTGACCCCTCAAGATTATAAGAGAGTCAGTGCTCTCAACTCTGTCTATTGTGAACATGTGGAGGATGAAGGAGAATCCAGGTAGGTGTGTATGTGTCAGCATAATTTGGCATGGACTAAAGGAGAATATGGTAGCTTTTTTCCTACTGTCTGGCTGATAATGATAGTGAAGAGCATTGAAGATTGCTTGCTAGACGATCTGGGGGTCCTAAGTTCATATCCTAACTCTACCACTTACAAGCTGAATCACCTTGTTATTGATTGAGATTTTTTAATTATATTTATGAGACTTAATTCATTTTAGAAAAATTGGAACATGTAAACAACTAAGAACCATAATCTTACTCTGAGATATTGCTAGTATTTATGCATGTGAAATTCTTACTGTCTTTTCTATAGAAATTTTTTTCCCCCCCACATACTTGGGATCATGAAAGATAAACTATTTTATAACATGTTCTTTTTGTTAAGAAGTATTTGGGGAAAATTTCTCCTATTCTTAAGATATTTTTAAAGAATATGATACCGATTGGCTACTTAGTATTTCATAATAATGAATATTATGTATAAGCATTTAGATTGTTTCTAATTTTTCACTATTCTACCCTAGTACTGAATATTCCTTTATGTAAACCTTTGTGAATATTTATGATTATTCTCCTTGGGTTAATTTCTAGAGGTAGACTTGCTAATAATAAGCATGTCCATTTTTAAAGTTTTTTAATGATAATTCCAAATTGCTCTTTCAAGTTCTATATTCCTGCCAAGCAGTCCATGATAGTGCTTGTAACTGTCTTTACTTTTTCTCTACCCTTGCCAACATTGATTATTTTCAATTAATAAAATACAATAAAAACAGCAATTGTTATTTTAACTTGAGTTATTTTGATTACTAGTGAAGCTGAACATTTTTATAATCTATCTGAAAGGTTTTTATAGAATGTTAATCAGTTACTCTAACACTATTTATTGAATAATTCATACTTTCCTCATTTTTGTAATAATTTTAATTCAGTTACTATGCTTTGTGTTCTTTTGTTGCTGTTATCTATTCTTGGGGTAATGCCACCCTTGTAACTATTGGGTTAGGCAAATGTCCTCACATTCTTAATTTTTTCCCAAAATTTATTGTCTTTTTTTTTGCCTTTTTATATATGTTGTTGTTGGGTGCCCTCGAGTTGGCTCTGACTCATAGCAACCCTGTGTACAACAGAACAAAACACTGCCCGGTTGTGCACCATCCTTACAATACTTGATATACTTGAGCCCATTGTTGCAGCCACCACTGTCAACCCATCTCATTGAGGGTCTTCCCCTTTTTCGCTAGCCCTACACTTTACCAACCATGATACCCTTCTCCAGGGTTATGGTCCTTTCTGACAACATGACCAAAGTAGTACGTCTAGCTATTCACTTTTCAAGGAGCATTCCAGCTGCACTTCTTCCAGGACAGATTTGTTCCTTCTTCTGGCAGTCCGTGGTGTTTTCAGTCTCTTTGACAACACCACAACTCAAAAGCATCAGCTCTTCTTTAGTCTTCTTACTCATTGTCATTGTCCAGCTTTCACATGCATATGAGGTGATTGAAAATACCATGGCCTGGGTTCAGCACGCTTTAGTCTTCAAAGTAACATCTTTGTTCTTCAACCACCACTCATCTGTCAATTTGTCATATTGTAGTGGCTTGTGCATTGCTGTGAGGCTGGAGGCTATGCCACTGGTTTCAGATCCCAGCCAGGGTCACCCATGGTGGACAGGTTTCAGCAGAGCTTCCAGACTAATACAGACTGGGAAGAAGAAGGGGGCCATCCATTTCTCAAAGAATTAGCCAGCGAATACCTTATGAACAGCACTGGAACACTGTCTGATGCACTTTTATATATAGGCTCCTTTTTCGTTGGGTTTCCGAGGTGATATCACTACAGAAGTAGACTGCCCAACCTTCCTTCCGAGGAGTGGCTGGTGGGTTTGAACTGCCAGCCTTCTGGTTAGTAGTCAGATGCCTTATGCACTATAGCACCTAACACTCCTTTTTTTGTTTGCTTATTTTTAAAATAATACTCCATACTGATTTTGATTAAAATGGTGTTAGGTTTATAATAAACTTAGGAAGGCCTGATATTTTCATAATATTAACTCTTTCCAACAAGAAAGATGGTGTATTTTTCCGTTTATTCAAGTATACTTTTAAAGTTTTGTAGTTCTTTTTTTTTTTCAAATAAGTTATGCCAGAAGTTTCTAAACTTTGTTGGTTCATAGCATCCTCAGTGTCTCAATAATTTTCTCATGGCACCCTAGGCTAAAAGATATGTACGTAATAGTTCTATTTACTAAGTAGTTAGATCCAAACAACCTTATAAGTATTTATACCCTAATAACTTAATAATCATTTGAAAAAGTAAATAACTTAAATTTTTTAATATATTTATTTTTAGATAACTACAGTTACTTACTAATGGAATGTTTGCACCTGTATAAGTTCTCAAACCATCACATTGATTTTTGTGCAGAACTTGCTTTTTATTTCAGAAACTACGGAAAGCCCTGTTCTGCAAAAATAGGACATCATCAAAAGTAGTGTAACACTATCTAATGTTAAAGTGTGAATAGATACACATATCATAGTATTTCTCCTAATAATTTAAAATATCCTATAGTGCCCCTGAAGGAGGATCGGGCAATCTACTTCCGTAGTGATACTGCCTCAGAAACCCAAGGAGGGGTCACTATGAGTCGGGTCCGACTCTACGGCACATAACAACAACAATAGTGCCCCTGGGAGTTCACTGTGGTGCCTTGGGACACCTTAGTGCATAGTTTGGGTCCAGTAGTATTTTGCCAATTTCTTTGTTTATTCCTAGATTTTTTTTTTTTTTTTTGCCTTTTTTCTTGCTACTCTGAATGGGACTTTTACCCCCATTATATTTTTCAATTCTTTATTATTGGTACCTAAGAAAGCTGTTGATTTTGTACATTGCTTCTGTTAAAGCGAGTGATTTTTCTTCTCTGAGCTTTAGTCTCCTCATTGTAAGATAAAGATCAAGTAGGTATAATGTAAATAATGTTCTTGTTAGCATAGTACTGGATACATAGTGGAGCTCTCTCTGGTGGCACAGTGCCTAAAACATTTGACTGCGAATCAGAAGGTTGGCAGTTCAAACCTACCAGCCGCTCCACAGAAGGAAGATGAGGCAATCTACTTCCATAAAGATTTACCACATTGGAAACCCAGTGGGAGTTGGTATGAGTTGGAATTGACTTGATGGCAGTGGGTTTGGTTTTTTGGTTTTGGAGTACATGGTAAGTAGTTAAAAATCCTGGCTATGATTATTATTATCTGTCAAGTAGAGCTGGTAATACTTACCACACTGGATTATTGTGAGGATCAGAAATTATATACCTGACTCTGTTTTTATTAATTGTAACACATAATACAAAAGTTTTGTTATTGTTGTTAGTTGTCCTTGAATTGTTTCCAACTCATGGTAACCCCGTATGTGTGGAGTAGAATTGCCCCAATGTGTTTTCAGGTTGTGTCCTTTTCGAAGCAGATCACCATTCCTGTCTCCTCGGGCATCCCTGGGTCGGTTCAAACCACCAACCTCTTGGCTAGTTGAGCACTTAACTGTTGGGGCCACCAGGACTCCTGACTTTTATTATAAAAGATATCAGAATTTAGCCCTTTGTTAAAGAATGATAGTCCTAGATAGTTGAAGACCCCAATCAATGAAGAAAAAATAAGACATTTTTATTTTTAATATAATAATGGGAGAAGTTGCTAAGTGACCAGTCAGGAAAACCAATAAAGCAATATGCAGTCCTTAGGAGGGAATGATCTGCTTCACAAGGAATGTTGACTAAGCCCATGAGTATTTGTGACTGTATGGTATGCGGACCTCATAGAAAGACTACATCTCTCTGCCCTGAAATTAGTGTGCCTCATTAACCTATTAGGGGAGATTAGCTTCACCTATTATATAACCCTAGAATGTAGAGCAAAAGGAAGAACTGGGAAATTGTTGTTGTTGTTGTTGTTGTTGTTGTTTTGTGCCGTCAAGTCAGACCCGACACATAGCGACCCCTCCTTGGGTTTCCAAGGTAGTATCACTACGGAAGTAGATTGCCCCATCTTCCTTCCGAGGAGCGGCTGGTGGGTTTGAACTGCCAGCCTTCTTGTTAGCAGTCAAGTGCATTAGGCACTATGCTACCAGAGTTCCTAGGGAGAGGCTAAAAATAGAAAAGCTAGAAATTTGGGAAACAGAAATGCAAAGCCATGGACCAAAACAAGGGCAAAGAGAAGGAATTGATCAAGGACTGGAAATAAAGCAGGGAGAAGAGAAATGGGGGGAGCAGTTTAAGAGCTGCTATGGGATACTTATTTATTATTTCAATTTATAAAACTGTGCCCAATGCCAAGCCTTCTGAGCACACGTGAAACAATAAATAATATATGCACATCTCTACGTCCAACTTAGTATTTTTCCTTTCTTTTATTTGATGCATTCCCCATCTCCCATTATCAGCTATCACTCCTAATCCCCTGCGCAGAAGACAGATGAGTGACTCCCACTGGATCCACAGGATGCTTTCTGGACACTTGGTCGTCATTTCACTTCTATACATACCACCTGCCCCTCCAGAGGACTCCAGCCACAAGCCCTCATGTATACACTTGCTATTTATGAGAGAGCAGGAGTGGGAGTACACAGTTTTGACCTTCTCCTTCATTCCTGTCTTGGAAAGGGAGATGATTTTTAACTTGAGAAATGGGCTGAGCATTCCCACTTACCCCTCTTTGATACTTTATTCCTATGTAACATTTATCTGAAGTTACTGATTTAATGGCCACTGCTTATTACAGAAACATAAATTGACCCTGCTTTTAAGACATTTATTCTAGAAAGCAAGAAGGAGCATCTAAAATTTGTGACCCAGCTGTGTCAAGTCCTTTCCTGGTTGCTTTGATTTAACTCTGCTGTCAGCCCTTTGAAGGAGCTCTGGTGGCACAATAGTTAAAGGATTTGGCTGCTAACAAGAAGGTCAGAGGTTCAAACTCATCAGCTGCTCTGTGGGGGAAAGATGAGGCACTCTGCTTCCGTGAAGATTTATGGCCTTGGAAACCTTATGGGGCAGTTCTATTCTGTCCCACAGGATTGCTATGAGTCAGAGTCAACTCAGTAGCAGTTGATTTGCTTTTTTGGTCAACCCTTGGAGGCAGGGACTTATAATCCCCATTTTACAGAAGTTACTATTGTCTGCAGAGTCCCAAAGCTGTAGGTGTCAGAGCAAGAATTCAAACCCATTTGCTTAATGCTAGATTCTACTGTTGCTACTATACCATATTGTTTCCAGGTAAGAGAGGTACTGACTTATAAAAGAAAGATATATGAACGAAGAATATAAAAAGCAGAATATAAAGCCCTGGTGTTAAATATAATCTTTCAGAATGCTTTTAGCAGTCATTTAGTGGTGATTATTCATCTAATAAACTGTTGTTATTATTTGTCATGGTTGTATCCAATAGGTACAAGATAACAGATATTATTGGGAAGGAAGAGGGACTTGGAGCAGAGAATCTTCGAGGTTCTGGAATGATTGCTGGAGAATCCTCATTGGCCTACGATGAGATCATCACCATCAGCCTTGTAAATATTACCAGAATCTGAAATTTTTGAAGAGCTATCTGTGTGACTAGGATTTATTTTTTGCCCCCATAAGTACTATTCAGTCCAAAATGAAAGAATTTCTCAGAAATTGTACATCTGCAATCTGATTTCAATCATACATGATAGTGGGAAGATAGGATAATAGAAATAATTAAATTTCCCAGATAAACCTAGCACCTCATTTTAGACTTTAGAGTTCAACTTCTTATTTCTCTGAATATTTTACCAACGTTTTAATAGCTCAAACATCTTCTCCTCTTACTAATTTCCTTGCTGACACTGCTAGTGGAGATGCTAAACATCTGTGAGATGGGCAAAAGTATAGAACTAAAGGGCCTAAATGACCCTTTAAGTGCCCAAAACTTGAATCATTGAATGACTTCTGTCTCTTCTCTTCTTTTGCTTTTAAATTAGTTCTTAATTTTGATGTTAATCAGTGGTCTTCATGAAAAGCAATAATTATTTCTGCAAATGTGGATTTTCCATATCTATGCCTTAGTTTTTTCAGCTTGGGAAAGGACATAAATATGGGGTGTGTAGAATTTATTCTCTTTTTAAGGTGACATGCCGAGCCATTGGGATTGGAGCTTACCTTGTCCGGCTGGGACAGAGAGCCATCCAGGTTGAGAATTCTCACTTAATTCTGACAGGAGCTGGGGCCCTCAACAAAGTAAGTTTCAAGGGTTTGGCAGAAGTGGGTGACACTATTTAAAGAATATTGTGAATTCTTAACTCAAGATCCTAACTTAAAGGAAGCCCTTTGACTTGCTTATTTTTTCATTCATTCATTCATTCATTTTATTCATTCAACAAATATTTTAGTATCTATTGTGTGCTAGGTACTGTTGCAGGGCTTATGGATATATCGGTGAACAAACTGTGTAAAACCTCTGCTCCAGAAAGCTCACATTTTAATGTCTCTTTGCAGACTGAGAATTAATTAAAAACTTCTGTTCTGCCCCTTTCTCACCTTTTTCTCATCTATGAGTAAGGAATATGATGAGATCTGTTCAGATATGTGGAGCTGAATCTGAATCCAGTTGTACTGGTTCCCATTGTCAGATCTCTGGTAGCATAGTGCCTAAGGCGCTTGGCTGCTAACCAGAAGGTTGGCGGTTCAAACCACCAGCCACTCCTTGGAAGGAAGATGCTGCAATCCACTTCCATAGTGATACTGCCTCAGAAACCCAAGGAGGTGTCGCTATGAGTCGGGTCCGACTCGACCACACATAACAACAACAACACAACAAGCATGGATTAGACAATGGCCTGGATGTTGAGGATGTTGTTGTTGTTCATAGCAACTTTCAGTGTTTTGAGAAATCCGTGCACTTGCTTCTGAAAAAGTACACTTAGGGTGGTCCCTTGTACATAGGGTAAATAGTGACTACTGAGTGGGTGGGTGGATGGATGGATTGCTGGGTAGAGTATGATGCAGAGATTTCTGTTTCCCATGAAAGAAGTGCTTGTGATTTTTCAATCCAAATTCATAGAGGTGATTCCAAAGAAAAGAAATGGATGCTGAGGTCAGTGCTTAGAAGAGGGAAAACTGAGGATACCTGAATATACAAAGAACAATGTAGTTCTCTCTTCTTTTGAGGCATAGGAAAATGATTTTCTCTCCAGAGCCAGAAATATGTAACAGAATAGTCTGGAACTGGCTGACCTTGTGCAATTTGTATAACCTCTGAGCTCCTCAGCTTTCTTATCTGCAAAAGGGGGCTAATGATTTATAAGTGGTGGTGTCGAGATCAAATGGGAAAATATCAGTAGCAGTATCTAGTGCTTGGCACAAAATGTTGGCTCTCATCAAAATTTCAGTTCCTTTTTCCTTTCTCTTGCAGTTTGGTGACTGAGCTTGTGGAATTACATGCATACTAAATTGTATTGGCTATTGTGTTCACTAGATTTGTAGGAACTTTTTTTTTTTTTTTTTTTCAAATCAAGCCTTGACTTTTAAGGAGAAGGATAGGAACTAAGTGTCCTGTCCATCATTCCGACTTAGGAAAAGTTGATACTTCTGTTCATCCTTTTAGCTTTTGGGAATGTCAGAAATTAGGAAAATGGTTTGATGTGATGGACTGACTCACTGCATTCATAGGAACTCTGTATCCTCCAACATTGCCTTTCTCTCCAAAGAAAGGCAAAGTAATGCTAACAATAGCAAACTTGGCTGTCCTTCTCCGTTTTTGGAGGGTAGCCTAGAAGTGAGGATTGTGAACCACCACTACCGAAGGAGATTATTGCAGTGGGATAAATTGCTGAGTCTTAACATTTTTTTACGTTGCTCTTTTGGGTGCCATCTTAGGATGATATATTGATAAATGTTGAAGAGAATTTTAGGTACCATTATCTGTGAGAACAGAATTTAAAGAAGATACCTCTACATCTGTAATATTTCCATACCTAGACAGTTAATTTCTGAAATGTGTCTCATTTACATTGAAGTTCTTATTTTCCCCCAGATACTAAGTAATACACAAAGAATCAAAGAATAATACAAAACACTAAGGGTTTTTTGTTGGGGAGGGCCTGGAAACTTGTTAGTTTAATTTCATTTGTGCCATAAAGAAAGCATTAGGGATTTTTTCCTTAAAATTCACTGGTTGAATTGTTCTGATCAAATTCATTATGCTCACTTTCTTCTAGCTACAGAGCTGCTTGTTAAGGAAAAGTCTAGTTGCAGAAGAAAAGACAAGTAAAAGCTGCAGCTGTAACTTACCAAAAAATGTTCATTTCCAGAAGGATAGGGTCATTTTTAGCTGAAGGGAGTGATCGTTTATGGAGGTTACCTCATCCTGCTCTGCCTGTTTCACTATCTTCATGTCAATGCCTGTTAAATATAGTCATGTTGCTGAAAGACACCCGATTTCATGCAAATTCATTAAGACTGTCCTGTCAGCCCCTTTGCCTAACAGGTATGAGAAAGGAAACTATATGGGATCTATGTGCTCAGAGTGATTCCTCTGACTTATTCCTTGTGTACAGTTCTTTGTGTGTGTTGGTGTCTTTCTACATGTTCGTCTGTCTGTCTCACTATAAGTATCTGTCTTGCACACTCTGGGTGTAAACAAGTCACTGAGTGCATGTCCCTTCCTGCATGAGTGCTGATCTCTCAGTCTCTTTGTGTCTGTCTGCTGTAAGCTCTCTCTTACTCTGTCTCTGTGCCTCCCTGAGTGTCCATGTTGTAAGTCTTTGTGTGCGTCTAAAACACAGTAGAACCTCCATTTTTTTAAGCCTTGACCATTTTGCTCATGGTATGAATGTACCTGAGTAAAGTGGAAATGTAGGTGGTATATGCAGGCTCTTAGACCATAAATATTTGACCCCCACCTTTTTTGAGTCTTCATTCTTTATGTTAAACATTGGGGTGAAAAATAAGAAGGGGTGCACAGAGGTTGTAGGAAAAAAAAAATCTTGTGTGTGCAAGTGCCGATCCCGTTGACCCCTTTGAAAATTGAAATAATGATAATGCGCGTCTCCTGACTGCATCAAAGTATCAGCACATCAGAAGCCAGGAGGCATGAAATGCAAATGATAAAGTGAAAGCAGATGGATTGTGCGTGATCGCCTGATGCCCAATGAATTTTAAAAGGTGCTGGTCTGCAAGGGGGAGGGCGGGATTGGTGGGGGGGGGACTGAAATAAACACGTTATCCCTGTGATTTTTTTTTTCCTCCTGTTCTTGACGCTCACTCCTGACAATATTTTTTCACACTCGAGTGAGCACCCACTCCATCTCTCTCTTCCTTTCTCCCTCTCGCTTTCTCTCTCTCCTCTCCAACTCCCTCCCTGTCCCCCCCCCCACCACCTCTTACACGTCTCAGGTCATGTCGCTGCAGCTCCGGTGGAAATAATAAGATATAAACCACGAGGTTGTTATTTGCATAGAAATAGCATGGAGCCCCAGGCAGCAAGGGAGAAGGACACAGGGATCATTTGTCTAAAATTTTAATGAAAACTTTTGCTGAGGCAGAGATTTTTTTTTTTAAACTTACTTTCTCCCTGCTTCTCTCCTATCCGCCCACTGCTACCCCTCCCCCATCACTGATTTGACTTAACATGGTTCAATTTGAAGAGAAAGGGTTGACACTCCACATATCATACTCTCATAATGCAGTAACATGTAAATTATTTGTTCCTTTAATAGATATGAAGCTGAAGAGACAACACATCCCAACTTAATACATTGCATGTATGCATCAAGCTATATGGCTGCACTCCATCTCAGTGTACATGTGATATAGCCAGTCTTTAGCTGATCTGTTTTTTAATAGTTTAGACCATCCTATCTTTTGCTTCCAAAGACTTCTTTTTCAAGGATTTCTTCCTGTAGTCAAGAGTAGTAACCTGCATGTAAAATATAAATACGACAGTGGTTTTCTGTTTATTTATTTTTTTCCTTAAAGGTAGTTTTACTGTACAGTTTTATTCGTGGAGCATCATCCTTTGGCATTCTCTTTTGTTCCAAAACCAGAAAGTGCTTCCCACATTGTATTTTTCTTTCTTTCCTTTTTTGATTTCAGTATACTTTATATACTCTCTTTTCATGTTTTTCCTTCTTTTTTTATTGCATGCAGTTAGGTGTAAAATTCAAAGTATTACCAAGTGGAGGAGGGATACAATATCTGGGTTTTCTTAAGTGTTGCAGAAGCAGATTTGATGTATGAACTAAAGACAATGAGCTGGTGATTAGAGGTAGCTGATTGTCTGCATTTGAAACTCAAAATCAAGAAAATCTGTGTGGCTCTTTGCTTCCCTCTGGAGTGGGCTAGTGGTGTGACAGCCATTATACAGATGGGAAGACTAACACTGTACAGAAGTGACCTGAGACTTTTTTTTTTTTTGGTAAAAACAAAATTGACAGAGACAAAACTAGATTCAGAAATTGAACCCTGTGTATCCCTGAATTTGATTAAAGAAAGGCTCAGTCCCCTGTGCTTAGTGTCCGAAGGCCTGAGAAGAGATGGTGTCTGGTCATTTTAATTTTTGTCCAAATGTTGTGAGAATGATGAGATAAATAAGAGAAGCTTCTAAGGGCTTACTTTTTCCTGTCACTCATGGTAATGTGTCTTATGTTCCTAGCTCTGGAACGGTAGGCTATGGGTGGCAGATTTTTCAAAATGCCTCTCTCCATGGTAAGAGCAATGGATGTGACAAACTACCCTACTTGAAGGGAGTCGTGCCATCCTGGCAAGCCTGTGTACTTGGGGAATTGATAAGATAGACCTTTAAGAAGCACAGATGATTTATAAGGTTATAAACTCCTAAGTCAAGGTGCCACTTGGACATTTGCAGTTAACTTCCAGATATACTCCCTGTTATGGTTGAATTGGGAGCTCTGGTAGCATAGTGCCTAAGGCACTTGACTGCTAACCAGAAGGCTGGTGGTTCAAACCCACCAGCTACTCCTTGGAAGATTGGGCAATCCTACTTCCGTAGTGATACTGCCTTGGAAACCCAAGGAGGGGTCGCTATGAGTCAGGCCGGCCGACTTGACAGCAAACAACATAACAATGGTTGAATTATGTCTCTAAAAATAGGTGTTGTAAATCTTAACCTCTATGCTGTGGTTATAATCCCATTTGGGAATGGGTTATCTTTGTAATGTTAATGAGCCAGGATTAGTGTAGGATATATTTTGAGTCAGTCTCTTTTGAGATACGAAAGA